CTCTCACACACACACACACACACACACACACACACACAAGAAACGTGCTTCACGATGTTCTTCCAATTTAGTCTGATCAATAGTAGCACAGCGATGGGACTTCTGCTGACCTCCTTCCTTTTCAGCCACAGTTTGGCATACTGGTCTTTCTCCGTCGACCATTTCATATCCGGTCGCTGGAGCATTTCTACTCGAGATAATGGCTAGATTTCAAAACGCACTCAATTTAAAGCTTCCTCTCTCCAGCTATTGCTAAGGGAAAGAATAGGATGCCCTGAATAAAAGCTGAAAGGAGTGGTCAAAGAGAAGTGTGATATCCTTTCAATAAATAACTGGGTGTTACAACATATTACTGACCCCTTGCCATTATTTCCCTCTGGAGGGACATTTATGCAGATTATGATTCGCTGCTGCTTGAGTACCCGCAATGCTATATGTGCTTCGCACAACAGTATTCCCCAGACTAATAATTTGCTTATTGCGAAAGACTCTTCAGAAACTACTATCGATTATGTGTAGTTGCCTGCGTGTCAAAGTGCTCATCCGCCTGCATGTGTAAGAAGCGCACAACTCGTCGAATTTCAGGATTAGCCGTGCATTGTTTTGCTTCTTTATCGTAGTTGCTTTAGAAAGTCCTGTCAGCAGCATAGCGGCTTCACGGTATTTTATTTCCACAGTATTTATTTGGGTGACACCGTGGCGTTTGGCAGAAAATGTTTCATACTCTATGCTCTACTTCCACTGCAAGTAATTTTTCGTCCAACAGAAATGTTATCATGGAAGGATGTGACAACGCGGCATAGCTTCGTGCATGTCTCTAGTGTTCCTTCTGAACAACACGGTGCATAGTAACGAAAACTGAAATTTGGATTGATTCTGTCGTATAATATTTCTCCCTTAAGATGAACCAGGCATAACGAAAAGCTTTTGAGAATATATATTTAATATAATGCGTTTATAACCATGCTATCTGTTAAATATTAATTTTTCTCGTTTTTTCCTTCGAGCGATGAACTTTGTCAAATAGTCGAGCAAGC